TACCTATACAATTTCATGACTGTTTAAATTAATATAATAAACAGAATTTCTGCTTTGTATTGTAAAGAATTAAACAAAACAATACTTATTCTTTTACGTCCTTTTTTAAGTAGGAGTTAGGTGACAAACGGACGTACGGAAGAATATATTTATTTCATTATTGGGGTCGGCGCAGTTCGCAATAATAATGAAAATATATATATCAAAACAACATGGCTTATTAAATTCCGATACATAAATATAAAATACATTATATTTAACACAAAAAAAGAAAAGTATAAAAAAAAACAAAAAAAAATGTTAACTGCGGGAAGCCACAATGTATATTATTCGCGGAGCAATTAAGGCGTGGAAAAAAAATAATAGAAAAACATATTATAAAAAAAAATTGCAAAAAAGGGCATGGACCTTCAGTCTATGGAAATAATGGCGTAACTATAAAAAAAAAATATAAAATACATTCAACATATTAAGTGGTTAGACTCCATTGCCCCATTTTATATTACAACATACCATCACGGCTGTTACCCCAGGTGAGGTAGATGGTACCATTGTTAACTGTCGATGTTGTGGTGAGAATTTCTTGCCAGTTCTTCTGATGATGTAGTTCCGATTGAGTGGAATAAAAAATATGATTATTCAAAAATACTTATATTAAGTTTATTTGTATAAAGATCATTGCTATTTCTATTGTAAAACTTGACATGCCCAGATTTTGCTGGGTATATTTGAATGTGGCAGTTACTAAGCCTACCGCCACTTCTCGGATTAATTTTATTTAATTTTAGATTAAACGGAGTATTAATTAGATATACATCTATAAAAAACTGTTTGTCAAACAGTTTTTTCTTTGAAGTCGGCCAGAATCGAACTTACGACCTCTTAGATGTAAATCAGGGTGTACCACAAGGCCACGGCGTATACAAAAATAATATTTCATCCTCCTCTATTACTATAATCTTATCTATTGTACGTGGCATAGAAATATACTGAAACAACTTATTCTATATAAGAGCACCTCTAAACGCTATTTACTTTTTATTACACCCTGTCGTGACATCCCCAAGCATCCTTCAACACATAAAAGGTACATCGAAATGAATAAAGCGCGCATAATTTTTTCACGTATCAATTCCGTTCGAACAGATGGGTACTGGATTCTTTATTTCACAGAACGCATCAATATATCTGACGAAATGGCAATTAATTAATCAATACGCTGAACGCGTCTGATATCTTTTATTGGATTTATTTTATTCAATTATTATAGTAAAATATGTTACTGCATTTAATTATTTATCTACTTAAATGGCAATTAATTAATCAATACGCTGAACGCGTCTGATATCTTTTATTGGATTTATTTTATTTTATTATTATGCTGAAATATGTTACTGCATTTAATTATTTATCTACTTAAATGTCAATTAATTAATCAATACGCTGAACGCGTCTGATATCTTTTATTGGATTTATTTTATTCAATTATTATAGTAAAATATGTTACTGCATATAATTATTTATCTACTGAAATGTCAATTAATTAATCAATACGCTGAACTCGTCTGATATCTTTTATTGGATTTATTTTATTTTATTATTATGCTGAAATATGTTACTGCATTTAATTATTTATCTACTGAAATGTCAATTAATTAATCAATACGCTGAACTCGTCTGATATCTTTTATTGGATTTATTTTATTTTATTATTATGCTGAAATATGTTACTGCATTTAATTATTTATCTACTTAAATGCAATTAATTAATCAATACGCTGAACGCGTCTGATATCTTTTATTGGATTTATTTTATTTTATTTATTATGTTACTGCATTTAATTATTTATCTACTGAAATGTCAATTAATTAATCAATACGCTGAACTTGTCTGATATCTTTTATTGAATTTATTTTATTTTATTATTATTTATCTACTGCATTTAATTATATTGAAATGCAATTAATTAATCAATACGCTGAACGCGTCTGATATCTTTTATTGGATTTATTTTATTTTATTATTATGCTGAAATATGTTACTGCATTTAATTATTTATCTACTTAAATGTCAATTAATTAATCAATACGCTGAACGTCGATATCTGATTTATTTTATTCAATTATTTTATTGGCATTTAATTATATATTTGAAATGGCAATTTTATTATTACTCGTCTGATATCTTTTATTGAATTTATTTTATTTTATTATTATATGAATATGCAGTACTGCATTTAATTATATATCTACTGAAATGGCAATTAATTAATTAATTATTTATCTTTTATTGGATTTATATCATTTAATTATTATGCTAAAATATGTTGGCATTTAATTATATATGTTATGAAATAGCATTTAATTCAATACGTTAATTGAATGTATTTTATTCAATTATTACACTGAACGCATTTAATTATTTATCTACTGAAATGTCAATTAATTAATCAATACGCTGAACGCGTCTGATATCTTTTATTGGATTTATTTCATTCAATTATTATAGTAAAATATGTTACTGCATTTAATTATTTATCTACTTAATTAGCAATTAATTAATCAATATTAGATTTAATTTATTAAATTATAATAAAGAAATATGTTACTGCACTTAATTATTTATCTACTGTAATGTCAATTACTTAATCAAAACGCTGAACGCGGTTGATATCTTTTATTAGATTTATATCATTTAATTATTATGCTAAAATATATTACTGCATTTAATTATATATCTTATGAAATGGCGTTTAATTAATCAATACACTGAACGCGTCTGATATCTTTTATTAAATTCATTTTATTCAATTATTAAACTGAAATATATTACAGGATTTAATTATATGTTTACTCAAATAGCCATTAATTAATCATTTTGACTATTAATTAATTGTTACTGAATATTTTTAAATTAAATTGTACTTCAAACACCATTATTTTATAAACACTAAACTATTATGATTGTATATCTTAGACGCATTTGAAGTCTGTTATTAAATTTATTTCATTCAAAAGATGAACAAGATATCAGTCGGAATTTGATCACTGCATATATTATAGTAATAAAGTAGACTAGCTGACACACACAACTTCGTTTGCGTCACACTTACTTTATGTTTATCATTACATTTCGCTCAATTTATATAATATTTTTTAAAATTATAGCCTATGTGTTATGCTGATATATAAGCTATATTACTGTAAAGTTTCGTTTAGCAGTTTTTTGGGTGAAAGAGTAAAAAACATTTATAATATTTATAATATTAGTAAATTTAGTAAAAAGTAATACTAGTAAGATAATATCTATGGGATTTAATATAAAGTTAACTTCAAATCCATTCGAAGGGAACTCTTTAATAGCGTAAATGTCAGCCCCATCGTTTATTCAAGGAAACTCAATGGTACTGTACCAAATTTATAGAGCGAAAACTCATATGGAATGTAATTTATATCCAAAGTAGTGATGGCGAGGGTTGTTCAAAATGAATATCCACGGATATGGATACGACACGAAAAATTGTTTTATTATTGATTCATGCTTTCTGAGATTCACACGAGGACCCTTTTACTTATGCATGCAAATGTTTTAAAATCTCTTTTTCAGTATTTTTTCTAGCACTAATCATGAAATCCATTAGTACGGTTACGGAATTTTACCTTTTTACTGAATTGGTATTATGGATGTGTATTTTGTCATTTGATGTATTACAAAAAATCTCATCTCAATTACTGGTATACTAATAATACCACTAAACTAGTAATTTCTGCAATATGAACATGTGTATTTAATGTATACTATTTAAGCGTACTGGCCGACGGTACTGACGGTATGTTTGTCGCTTAATTTTTTTTTACTGGGGGGTTTGGATTCTTGTCAAGTGCTTAGACCGGTAGTACTGCGACCTACATAGATCTATTGATACTCATCGCTTGCTATTACATAACAACCAGTGAAATGTTCGTATTCTTAGTCTTATATGGCGTAGTACATTTGATAATTGTCAACTGACATATCTGGGATATATCTAATATATAAATTCTCGTGTCACAGTGTTAGCTGCCATAAGTGCGAAACAGCTTGATTATCAATTTTGATCAAATCTTATATCTATATTCAATAGATCTGAGAATATGATGTTATCTATTTTATATATAAGTGATAACGGTGGCCCGGGTCAGCTAGTAATAATGTCAAGATATATTTAAAGTGCGCCAAAAGCAACTTATAAGAATACAGACCTCTTATTTCGCGGATATTTGCGGATTCGGATACGAATATCCAGCACATCACTAACAAAAAGGCTGGCTTCCAATATCGCGAGAGCGATATATTAGCAGGTGGCCGTTGAAACTTTTCAAGCGTGACTAATAATTTTAAACAACTCCGCGCTTTAATTGATTCGATTCAAAACTTTCCACACAGTTTTATTGTTTGGATTTTCTCTCCGTATCCAACTCGCAGTAACTTTGTTTTAATGCTTTTTGTTATACCTGCAAATAATTTACTCAAATTATAAAAAGAAGCAAAGTTCAAAGGTTGAAGCGTAAGGTATTGGGAATTTAAATCATGACATAAAAAATTAAGTCATTAATTCCATATTAACGTTTAATGAAATTGTAAAATTTTGGAGTAATGGATCAGAGATCAAGAAATTATGTTTTATTTAGTACCTATATTTTAAAATTTTATAATATCTTGTGTGGTTTACGAATATTATATCCGTTATTATGAGATCCGTTTCCTTTTCTATAATGACTATATATTTTATCATCTATTATTCTGTTACATGTTTAATTATAGTATTTTATTTAAATCATATATTTATCGTTATTTAAACATAACTTCATGACGTGAGAAAAAGCACCAACTTTTATGTTACTATTTTTTTATATTAAGTCAAAAAGACCGACCTCCTTAGAAATTCAATAACAACCAGGACGGAAATATGTACAGCAAAATGTTGTCCTTTAATAATAATTGAACCTTGTTGTTTCAGGATGCGGGAGTATGTAGAGGAAAATGAGAAAAACGATCCACTCATACACGCCCCAGACAAGAAAAATAATCCATGGGCTGAAAAGGGGAAATGCATCATCATGTAATCATTTAAAATAAGTAAACATAAAATATCACCAAATTCTAAAATACATGATTCCATTAAAGGGATGGGTGTGTGTCTGGTTGAAATTATTAGAGAAGAAACAATTGGTAATGCTCAAGATATATCGATAAAGGATGCATAGGAAAACAATGATTTGGACGAGTTATATAATGAAATGTTACTGCCAGACTATAAAGAACATATTAATACTCCATCAAGAAGTTAAAATGTAGTAACGCCAAGCTTAAGTTCTTAATCGTTTAGTTTATTTATGTTATGTAGTATTCGTTCCCAAACAAAATAAATCTAGTCCTTATAATTCTATAACATTGTAAAGAAATGTACATTTTGACTGTGCGCGACGCAAGGATGTACTTATGAATGTTCTGTTAAAAGGTAAAAAAATGGTTGTAAATACGTTAAATTTTGTATTTCTAGTAATAGAAACGTTCGGTCATGAATCTATCGGTAGAGGTAACTGGGAAAGTAATTAGCGAACGCGGTAAAATAAAAAAACAGTGTAAATTAATCTAATTTCAAAAACGTATGTTGACAACCTAAATATATTATTTGTTTTACTTAAGAAATATTAATATATGTTGCATGGTGAAAGTGATGCCTTGAAAATTACCGTTTAAAACATAAAATTTAAGAGTGTATCGTGTGCGGAAGAACCCATACAGTTCCATACAAATCAAAGCAACTTCCTCTTCCATCTTTTTGTATGGAGTTGAAGTGGATTCTTGGGTAAACCAACTGATTTGTGCTCGATCAAGTGAAGCTAACTTGGTTGGTTTGGTGTGAACTTTTAAACAGTATTATGTAGTTTTTGTTTTGATATAAAAACTTTGTAAGAGATCAACTTCGCTGGCGAAATCTAGTCTAGAAGGTAAAATGGTAACGATAATATTAAATGTGGAGATTCCTTGAGCTCACGAATCTTCGTATTTAACTAAAGATAATTTAAACTATAGGGTAAATTGCTAATCACAACTTAACATGTATTTGCTGGATCACGGAGTTAGAATGTTCGAGGAGAATAAATTTGGCAATAAAAGGAGTTGAGGTGAGGTGTGAGGTATATAAGGAGATGGTGTTAAACATAGTAACAAAGAAGTATAAATGTAAGGTAACTTAAAAGATTAAATGCGACATAATCTTGTTCGAAACAAACGTAATTGTTAAGCTGATTTAGGATACTTTTTTATAAACACAGGTACATTCCGCAGTGCCATTATCTAGTAATGCTTCTATATAAAGTAACTCTTTAGCGATTTCCCTTCTATAAGCCAGTTTTAATATCATAATTTTGTCACTATCCGTTGAAACCAAGTAATTTACACATTTATTTCCCATATAGCAGATTCCATTTGTACCTAAATAATCTTGTTTTACTCTTTTTTAATCTTGGCTTAAACATAAATAATATATTAATTAGAATCTATCAACTACGACTTTAAATTTAGCACTTGATTAGCTTAGTATAATTCAAATATAAATTGAAAAAAAAAATACCTAAGACTTTCAAAGTTTACTTATTAACGCGACCTATCGTAGTTTCCAAATAAACTTCTTCTAAATTATATCTAAGATTTCTAGGTCTGGAACACAGAAACTTTTTCTCGTATTCGAAGGTAATACTTTCTGAAATCGTTCGATTTTCTAATCTAATGATTGAACTTGGAAAAGTTTTTGTATGTTCAGCCGAGTAGTTCTATTAATCTAACATTCCATTTAAAAGGATTGCCTTTAATCCTAATTTTGATTAAAATAGAAATGTTAAAACTTATGCACTGTAGATAATTATAGATTAAATTTAAAAGCTAACTTTAAACTAAAATCTCTAAATCTTTAATAAATACCTTCCCCTTACCATATCTAGACATGAAGTATGGAAAATCATTCTGGCTGTGAATACTTCCAGTTTATTTAGATGCTTCACTCATTGTCGTTAGTCGGAAATTGCTGAGCATCATTCTCGTATAATTAAACAATGTTAAAGGCGACAATAATTACTACTTATACAGGATCAATGTAAGCGTACCAGCAGCTTTTACGAACCACCTAACTAAATATATAACAAGAGAATTCACGTCAATTTATTATACGTACTTTTATAATATTATCTACATCTTTATCATCATTAGAATCTTCATCTCATCTATCTATATCTATCATAGTATTATAATTTAACTCATATCTTCCTACACCTCTAATTTCTTCATTTCGTCTACCCTCTCTAGGAGTAAATAGTTATATTAATAGAACATAGTTAATAATGAGTAGAATTACTTAATAAGAAAACAAGAATCAAAGTTGATTGTTAATCTATATAATAAAATTGCAATTCAGAGAATTAACCTTAGATATATATAAAACGGAAGGTAATGGTTTATTTAAAAATGGTTTAGTAAATAATATAAGATATTGTACTTGCGAGTTTTTTGAACGGCGAAGTTTTTCTCTTAACCGTAAAAGTTTTAATCTAAGTTTCGGGCAATTTTCAAGGCATTCCTTTGTTGGCCCTTAATTCATTAAGTTTTCTATTATTATTATTATTATTATCTATATTTGTTCCATTTTTATGTTAAGTTATATGAAACCAAAGATTTCCTTGTCATATGAGTATTGTTCTCGCTGAAATGAATTTATTTCGTGGATGAATAAGTTGAAAGAAACATAGTTTAATATTTAACGTTTTAATACCTAGCGTTTATATAACACTCTGTTTCATTCAACTTTTGTGTTTTATAGTAAGCTAAGGTTAAACTTGTCATTTTTAATGGATTAATCCAAAATTTAATAACTAGGTAAGGGTGATATTGGAAATGATTTTTTTAGAATCAATAGGCTAAGGTATCGTATGTTATTATTAATTATGTAATGCAGTAATCACTGAAATAAATGAAAATCTGTAATACATGTAGTTTCATTGATTTTATTATCTACCAGAATTTACAAAGAGTATACAGTATGGTATAGTACTGAAGCAAATCATTACATAGTATAAAACTAAGTCCCTGTCGCTGTCTGTCCGACCCTATGTATGCTTAAATCTTTGAAACTACGCAACGGATTTTGAAGCGGTTTTTTTTACAGATAGAGGAAGGTTTATATGTGTAACACATTTACACCCGGGCGAAGCCAGGGCTAGTGGCTAGTAAATAAATAAATAAAAATAAAGGCAACTACGTGGATGATCCTCAGTATCACTAACTTTTGCCGCTAAGCAGTTTTCTTTATAACCTGCGTTTGGGTTATATGGTGCGAATAGTTCGTAAAATGACAGTGTAAGAGGCATAACATCTTAATTTTCTGAAATGGCAGATAATCCAGTCAAAATAGACCAAAAAAAATAATAACTTAGCCAAAATTTGCATAGAGCTGATAATTGGTATAGACTTTAAATAAACCAGTACAAATGAAATGTCAAAAATCCCTTTCGATCCTACTTTTGCAAGAAAAAATATCCAAGGGTGTTTGTGTGTGTGATGTGAACACCCGTGTTACATGATGACGTGATTATTTTTAAACTCTATGATGGTGAGAAACAAACGGCCAATCTGAAGATAAACGGTTACCTCAGCCTATGGATGCCTGAAACACGAGGGGGTCACGTGATGTCACGTCATTCTGATGTGACAGCTATTTTACTGTATGTAAAGTTTCATCAAAGTCCGTTCCATAGATTAGGCACATACATACACACATACGCACACATACACACACACATACACTCACACACACGTACACACACACGCAGACGCACACATACACACACAGACACACGCACACACACATGCTCAATGCACTCCAAGTTTAACTTAAAACTAGATGTATAGCTAATTTATATGAAGGGGAGACCTGGTGTCTAAGGTACAGGCTATGGCTTAGTTTGGGCTCTAGATTTCCCACAAATTATATTTGTGATTTTTATTCTTGGCATTTATGTAATAAAACTGGAATTATGTAATTTGTGGAGATGAAATAATTTTTTTTTTATATTATTATTATAGATTATGCATGAAAAAGTAACAGAGTAAACATCCGTCCAACTATTCGTACTTAAACCTTCGCGCTTTAATATTAGTAAGATGTATACGTTATACATTAGTCCTCATAAAACAAACCTATACGATATTGAAACCTTCAAGAAAAGAGCTTATTCCCTCTTAAAAGGCCGGCAACTCACTTGCATCTACCCTGGTGTTGCGGGTGTTCAATGGCGGCGGTAATCACTTACCATAAGGTGAGAGGCAAATATATTTGTCCCTTATGCTATAAAAAAACCATTTTATCCGCCTGTTGGGTACATATCCTGTTTCTTGAGAGGAGAATTTAGACTATTAACACCATAACGTTTTTTTTAATGGATGAAAATGGAATGGTGCATTCGCCTGCGCTAAAGGTTTACCCTGGCGGGGCACCAGTGAAGGATGATACAATGAACATTAGTCAGGTGGGTCCATCAAACAAACTCACCAGGCGTGGAGGTTAAGCTGACATGGTAAATTGCTAGCGAATTGAAAGAAAAATGAAAAAAAAAAATATATTTAAAAAAAAAAATCTAACATATGTGCTATATACATGTGAGTATACAGTTGAAAATAGCCAGTTACAATAAAATGAATCATCAGTATTTTTTAATCCAACTTCATAAAAAAGATTTTTTCTTCAATAAATTACAATCAATTCATTCAAATACCAAATCGTTGGGAAGTCTGTCACATTTAAATTATTACTAGGACATAAACCAATGTAAAATATGATATCGAACGAAGTTTGAAGTACCTCGTCATTATTCTCAAGCTCGAACTTAACAAATCTTGGAAATCAATCAGGCTATTGGAGACACTAAGTGTCTTAGATGTGATTTGTCTACATCCAAAAATCAACATCATCGGCCTCGGTGTTCTATCGGTTAGCACAGCGCTTTGCTTACGATGGTGGCTGGTTCGATTACTCGATTGTTCGATCACGGTACAAACATTTGTATTCATGAGTATAATTGATTGATGTTTGAAGCAAAGCCTATAAAGATTACTTGAAACAACGAGCGTGCATGTACGGGATTTTCATTTAACGTTAGACATAGACACCTATATAAATACCTATACATTGTAAATAAACTGGCTTGTAAAAAAAAGTAATTCAATTGAGTTTCTTGCCAGTTCTTTTCAATTGGATCTATATACCGAACTGGACGGTAGGGAAAAAAATTATAATGTATAAACTTGACGTTCATAAGCGGCTAAAATGTCTGAAAAAAATGTCGAGAGTAACTGATTTTTGAATTTTGAATTTTGAATTTTGTTTAGTATAGATTATAACAACACAACCTCTACTTAAATTGGAACTACATGACGCTATGTGAATTATCCAGGGTTATGGAGATAAATAAGCAGTTTGATCTTGCCACCGATATTAATTACAAGTATTATATAAAATACATTGTACCAATATATTAAGTTTATTTGCGGACAACGTTATAATTTTAATTTTCATACTGCTTTCTTGATATATGATAGCGTAGCGGCTTTTGTATTGATTGCCTCATGCATCCTTATGTAAAGTGCGAATACTGTAACTACCATATAGTAATTTTTGTAGCTGTGACGTGGTCGTGTGGAATGAGTAGTCATGCTCACTAAAATGTCCAGACATGTGGCGGCGTGGTGGGCCGGGTCATTGGGCACCCTAAAATATGGTCGAGTGCAGTGATGGCTGGCTCATCCGTCATACTCGTGAACGAGTGCTGCTTGTAGGGACTGGTCTGCTCTTATCACTGCGATTGATTTAATCTTATTGCATATTTATATTTGACCCAAAGAAATTGTGCAGTCCCACGTATCGACTTGTAAATGTAAACTTACAAGGATTATTTAAAAGAGCAACACGCAAGTTTCTTGCTCGTTCTTCTTGTGATGAGACAGCTTTCCGAACGAGTGGTAGATAAAAAACAAATTGTTATGACTATTCAAAAGTGCTTAAATTAAGTTTATTTGAATAAATGATTTTCTATTCTATTCTATTCTATTAGAATTTGGGTATGATTTGTTAATAAATGGACGTGAAGATAAAATCTGCGGGCTTACTTTTGACGAGACTGAAGCGAGATCCAATGAAATGTTTTTTTTCTCTTTTATAGCAGTATCAAAGTGTTCTAGCTGTTACAAAAATTAAATTAAAATCTGTAATCATATCTCTGACATAAAATCCATTTGTACACCTCGTTAATGATGATGAATAAGGTCTTGATGATGAAAGCCTTACTTCCATATTTGTAATAACTAAAAACCAAAGTCTTGTAAACATATTTAACTACTAACAGTACACGTAACTTCATCTGCGTGGAATTATCTTTATTTTTCTAAAACAAAAGTAGCCAAGTTACTGCTTATTACTTCAGCTACCTGCCAAAAAAGTCCCGTCAAAATCGGTCCAGCTATTTCAGAGATTAACCGGAACAAACAGACAGACAGACAAAAATTGTAAAAAAAGATATTTTCGTGTATGTACCATATTTGTATTTATATGCATGTAGTAAAGAACGGTTATTTTAATACGACAAACAGACACTCCAATTTTATTTATATGTATAGATTACAAAGAGAAGAGGCTGTCCATTTTATTATTATATTACTTATAGAATTTTTTTTCCAAATACATTATGGACCATTATGTCTTCAATAACAATGATTAAGTAATTACAATATTTTGTCTCTTTCTCTTAATCTAAAAAATATAATCGTAGGAATAGGACAAAAGAGTGTACAGTACCAGTACAATACAGTAACAGTAACTGAAAAAGGTTTATAAGGCTTTCGACGTTCTTATGAATAGTTAAAAACTAAGAAAATTTAGTAAATATAACCAGGGAATTTGCATAGCAAAATAATACAATACGGCAACTACATCCTACTGGATGTAGTTGCCGTATTGTATTATTGCTATAACTGTTTTGTAGGCGCTTACTATATTGTATCTAAATAATTAAATATAACTCAAAGGTGACTGACATAGTGATCTATCAACGCACAGCCCAAACCACTGGACGGATCGAGCTGAAATTTGGCATGCAGGTAGAAGTTATGACGAAAGCATCCGCTAAGAAAGGATTTGATTAATTCTACCCCTGAGGGAAAAAATAGGATTAGAAAGTTTGTATGAAACTTTCTCAATTTTAAACCGATCGGGCTGAGACTTTGCATGCATATAGCTACTATAGCGTAGGCATCCCCTAAGAAGGGATTTTGATAAATTCCCCCCTAAGGGGATAAATAAACGCGAGCGAAGCCGCGGGCAAAAGCTAGTTTATTATATTTTGTTTCAAAATCAACATCCGTGGCGTAATTTCAATTGAGAGTATTTTAATAATTGCTTCTAAATGATTACTTAATTCATACTAACTAAAGCGGTTTACCCGCGTGAAATTCATAGTCTCTGTGTAGTTCTGATGTATACGCTATATTATTGGAAAGTTTCATTAAAATCCATTCAGTAGGTCTTGCGTGAAACAGTAACAATAAAAGTAGATATTTATCTATCTACCTTTACTTACAAACTTTCGCGTTTATATTATAAGAAAGAGGATTGTTAAGTATTGTAGTCCAGTCCACATGACTCCAGCTAACAATGTACCTACTATGTTAGTTTCACCTCCACTTGATACTTCCTGGAAACCGTAATAAATTCGTGATAAATTTAGCACGATCTGACCTGACTTGACGTAATGCTGCTTCTGTAAGAATCAAATAGAATAGAATAGAAAATCATTTATTCAAATAAACTTAATTTAAGCACTTTTGAATAGTCATAACAATTTTTTTTTACCGCTCGTTCGGAAAGCTGTATCATCACAAGAAGAACGAGCAAGAAACTTGTGTGTTGCTATTTTAAATAATCCTTGTA